TGGTTACTTTTTTCCTTTTTAAGTATAGTATCTGTTTGATATAAGTAGTGGTTTGAATAGTACAAAATGGGATTATGACAATCATATCCTATATCCAATCATAAAAAAAGGATAAGGACTGAATTTTATCTCCTCCCTTTCATTAGGAATCGAGATAAGATAGGAAAAAAATTATAGTCAAATTTGAAGATACAATGAAAACACTCTAGACATTGTAGATTTGTTTTACAATGCATATATTTTTGTTAACTCATCTAACAAATCAACAGGCATTTTTATCAACTAAATTGACCATGCCCCATGTCTTTCATTATTCATGCCATCTATATATTTCAATTTAATGTCACATGGGGTACTAAAGTTCATACATTATTATTAATCAAGAGCAAGCTCCCTCTTTTAGGGCTGGCAATATAGGTTGAGCTCATCAACGAATCAAAAAGTGGCAAGTTTGGGTTGGGTAAGTGGAGGCTCAGTTAAGAGTAGGTCATTTTCAGCCTTACATAGCAAACTTGCTAACTTATGGGTTAGCTCATTTTTTTTTCTTTATTTTTTGTTTAAAATTTCAATCTACTCATATAAATCTTCCCTTCTTTGGTCACTCCTCCCAAAATTCCTAAAATCAAAATACCTTGTCTCTCTGTCCTCCTCTAGATATGTGTTTTATAAATAACCAGTGTTTGTTTTTTAATACAATCCATTGTTTTTTAAGTTATAAGAACAATGAGAAAATCATTGTTATTTGAAACTTTGAATAAAATCCACATTTTATTTTCTTTTTTTAATATGATATCATTTTTCAAGTCATTATCATAATAAGTTTCCTCAACTTTGTCTCCCCTACCAATAATGGTTAACTTTATTTTAAAATCCCACATTGTTCAAGTTAAAAATAAAAAAACTAATTTTATTGAATATAATTAATTTAAGAAGTATTTTTTTATTTAGAAAATATTTTATTAATATTTGGATAATCAATTTATAAAGAAAAATTAGATTCCATTTATTTTAAAAAAATTAAATTAAAAAATGAAAGTAAAGAAATAAACAAATGAGTTGGTTCATTTTTCTAACTCTATCCTCTTTCAGTGTTAGGATGTCCTGTTGCATCCTAAATTTTAAACAAATTAATATTAAATAAATATCATATATTATATAATATTCCGATAATTAAATAGTAATTTTTGCACAAAGATATCATACAATTGGGATGGCAATTTAGATTTTGAGGATAACATTTTTAACAATATTTCTGATGCAAAATCAAAATTAAAGGCCAAGGTTAATTATAATAAATACTTAGTATAAGTAATTGAGTAGATGGTAGGCGTGATTAAGGGATAGATCGGAACAACCTTATCTTGTGTCTTGTTACAAAAAAAAAAAGGAATTTTTATTTTTTATCAAATCCCATCTTGTTTGGGATCGGGACAGGATAAGATGAGACCAAGAAATTTCATAAAAAAGTGTCATTTTCACTTTTGAAGACACAATGGAAATAGTCAAGGTATGGTTAATTTGTTTGTAGTGTATATGATTTCTATTAACTCATTTCCTATATCAACAAACTTTTTTATCAAATAAAGATGGAGTTTATACATTACTATTAATAAAAGACTCCTTCTTTCCTATTTTTATGTAGCCGACTACTAATAAAAATTTAATTTTTATTTTTATTTTCCTTAGAAAGTTGTCTTCTCATCTTAATACTCTAAATGGTAGTAAAAAAATTTCATCAACATTTCAAAGAGGTTGACATACATGTTTAAAAATATCAATATATTCTATATCTCTATTTTTTTACTCAATTGAAGTAAAATTATATATATATATATATAATAACAAAAAAATTAAAATTGATATATTTTTAAAATAAATAAAAATCACATATATATTTAAAATTAATTATGAATATTTGATTAAATTGGGTGATGATGGAAGACCCATGATGCTTGTGGCATTTACTGAGACTAAGTCATTATTGAACTTGAATTTTAAATATTGAAACAAAATTTTTTGTAAAAATTAATTAGTTATTACCCCTGTTCCAGATTATAAAACATTTTTTTAAAAAAATTAATGTCCTAAAATATAAGACACTTAGACAAAAATAATATTTCATTAATTATATTTCTCTAATATTACCCTTCTCGTATATTCTCTCTCTATAATATTCTTTAACAAATGGAGTATTAAATGCAAAGTATTTTTGAAAGTTTGCATTTTTATTTTGAAAAAGTAAGGTTGTAAGTGTATTTAATGAATCTTATTAGTATGTGTGACAATGTCAAATGGTGGAACCATAACTTGCAGCACGAAGCATGGTCAATTCTCCATAAATAACAACTAAAATCAAAATATGAATAGAGAAATAGAAATAAAAAAGAAGTTGCAAGAAACGAATGCACATGAGCAAGTCAATAAGACAACAAGTGATTTAAGTTTGGGATAATGGGTAATCGATTTAAATAGTGGCTAATGTGGGTAACAACTAATTAAGATGGAAATGAGTTCAAAAAAGTAAAAAAAAAAAACAATTCAAAAAAATGTTGTCCAATATTTCAGCAATTAAATTAAAGAATCAACATTATTATACCTAGGTCAACTATGTTTTGAATATGGATATTTATTCTTAAAAAAGTTGCCAAATCAATCAAATTATTTATGAGGTAATATAAAATTTGCAATAGTCCATCTTTTTATGCTACTTATTATTTAAGACACATTAATTTAAAAATTCCTGTGATTGATTTAGTAGTTTTTTAAAAATAAATATCCGTATTCAAAACATAGTTGACATCATTACAATAATATTAATTCTCTAATTTAATGCCAATTTATTTGGGTTGTACAAATATTTTTTTTTATTTTTTGAATTCATTTTCATCAAATTTAATTGTTGATTTTGTGTTTTCATTTATGATATGAGCAGTTAATTTATTTTTATACATTTTTTTGCATATTTTTAAAATTGTGTTTTTTTTTTTGTGTTTTGAATACGTATGCTTATTCTAAAAAAAAACTATCAAATCAATCAAAGTATTTATGAGTTAATGAAAAATTTGCAATAATGCATCTTTGTATGATGCTTATTTAAAATACATTAATTTAAAAATTACTCTTGTTGATTTAGTAGTTTTTTTTTTTAAAATAAACATCCAAAGTTAAAACATAATTGACATTGGTATGATAACATTAACTCTCTAATATAATGCTGATTGATTTGGGTATTGCAAATATTTTTTTTGTTTTTTATTTTTTGAATTCATTTCCATCTAATTTAATTGCTGATTTTGTGTTTTTGTATGCTTTTTTTAATTTCCTTATAACATAATTTTGTGTACTGCAAGATAATTTCCTTTCAATTTTTAAATTTTATGCAGAAATAAAATTTAATGGAGTAATTTTGATGTAAAAAAATGAAATTCAAAGGATTAATTGCACCATCTCAATAAATGAATTCACTGCACGATTTTAATTTTCTGAAAAAAATTATATATGCTACCAACTTATTTCCTTCAAAATATTAATAATATATAATTATTTTTATAAATGAATTCATTGTACGATCTCAATTTCCATAAATATCATGACTATTACTTACATAAATTAAATAATCAAATCATGAAATTAATTGATTACATATACAAATAATTTATTTTGTTGAGGAATTATTTAGCTTGGATATTCATGTGTCACTACGGGAGAGAAAGGTGGAGTCGAGGTAGCTTACTAATATTCTAGTGCTTAGAAGTCCTGATATATATATATATATATATATAGATTATTAATCAAAATAAAATGGAATCAAGAATTCAATTTCCTCATAAATTTATCTCATGATTATACTTTCCATAAATTAAAGAATCAAATCTTGAATTAATTCACTACATCCATGCACATTAAATGCATGCATTATATTTTCAAACAATGAATAATAATTTATCATTGAAAAATTATTTAACTTATGTCCACTTGTTATCACAAGAGAAAAACATGGAGCTAATGTGGCTTCATAATATGCTAACACGTGTGCTTGAGGTTCCTGATTTTATATATATGTAGATTTACATCTTTCATATCATACTGCCATTAAATACATTATATAAGTATGTTCATAATGACAGAATGGAGAGTGATCGCTTGAAAATAAGAAGAGATGAGAAAGGAGCAAGAGTAGTAGAAAGATATTACATATTAACTCAAAACTTGAAGCCTAAAGTTTGAGTATTTTTTTCTTTATTTTATATTAGTTATTAAGGCTAATTTTATCTAATATGAGGCTTCCATATCGTCTTTAGTTTACAATGTATTATTTTTTTTAAAAAAAGTAATAAATAAAGAAGGGGTTTAGTTAGAAAAGCAATTATTAAATTATTTAACACCTTGTATTTTTAATCAAACAAGACTTCTAAAAGATATAATGTATAGACTAATTGTGGTGGTGGGGATAGGCAATAATTGGTCAATGGATTCGACTCAAAATAGCAGAGGTGGAAGATAATACAGTGACTATTATTACAAGTTCTTTTTTAGCTGACATAGGCGAAGTAATGATCCAAGATGGCTTTAGTGAGAATGAAGTGGCAATGGTGAATAAAGGTAATGATGGAGCTGAATGGGATATCTTAAAGGTGAAAGATGAGGCTCTTATCTAAAGCCCATTGAGTCGAGCCCTTGGCCCAAAACTCACATTTGAAAACGTGTTTCTTATAAAGCAGAATTAGAGGATGATTTTTCCCCACTATGGTGGCTCTTATCTTATGCATATTTGGCCCATTGAGTTAAGCTTGACTCAAAAGTCAGATTTGAAAATGTGTTCAAATTCTGAAATTCAGAATAGATAAATATGTATGTGATTTTGAGCCCCTTAATCCCGAACAGAGCATATATGTAGATGGAAAGCAGAGAAGGATCTCTCACGGATTGGCCTGTTTGCTTCCACCTCACTTGCACCACTTGTTTAAAATGAATAATAATGTCACCCAAAAACAAAGTGATTTATATTATTATCTCACTTTTATTTATTTGATTGTCAACATAAGATATGAATGCTTCACATCTCTCCTCAGAGACGTACGTGAATTGAGAGCATTCTCAATGGTGGAAAAACACACCTGAATTGTCCTTGGTTTTAATTTTTACGTTGCACAGTCTATGTATAGCAATAATAACTCTCTTGTGAAAATAAAAAAGACAATACAAAAAGTAAACAAAATACTTGCTAAAATCCAAAATGCCTACTTTTAGTAGCAATTATCTCTCGGAATTGATGCCTTCGTGCTAGAATATCTTGACGGGCCTTCAAAAGCTGAGCATGACGAGCCATGACATTGACATGTTCTTGTTGAGCCACTTGTACCACTCGTGCAGCCTCAACCTCCTCATCATGAATAGCTGCAAGCATTACCTCGTTGGTCATCAAATCATTGTCCAAACCCTTTAGAACTTCTTGGATTCGATCACCTTCAGATATCTCACAATCTATAACCTTAGTCTTTATAGACTCAATCCATTCCTTGTCGAAACCGAAAAAATAAGCGTCCTTTAAATGTTCAGCCAGCAACCTCTTGTCAGCTTCAGTGATTGTAAAGGGAGTCCTAGTGGTCAGAATGTTCAAGATATCAAGCAATATCCTGTAGGACATGCACAACACTCGAGTGCTTCGATCATTTGAAGAGAGTCGAAGTTGTGGACGAGTCTCAAGTGCCTTCGCCAATATTGAACGGTCAAAACCCTCCAACTTCATCATATCAATTATTTCTTGCACCTCAGGGACAATTGAAGCCTGATTATTAGTCTCTAGAAAAGAAGGCATTGTCTCTGTTGGTGTAGAAAATTGTAACAGTGACAACTTTGAATCCTCCACAGTGACATTGTCTCTGTTGGGACTTGCATGAATAGACACCTGCTTGTATGATAAAATATGCATCGTCATTATTATCACAATGACAAATCTATTGAATGATTTAAGTGGTTGCAAGAAGCTCACATTTTTAGGAGGTAAGGAGGCTGGGTGTAAGGTCTCTAGTGAAGCACCTTCTTCATCTCTTTCTTCAACAATCTACACACCACCAAATTGAACATATGAAGTGAATAAATATAATCCATTGTTTTTTCTTCTTTTCCCTTATATATACTAGATACCCACAATTCTCATAAAATTTTGGACCAAAAACAATCCAAAATCTCACATAATGGAATACCATGAGATATACCTTTGCTAAGTTTGGTGTAGCATTTGAGGGTTGTTGTAGATCAGTCATAATTTTCTCGTTTTGCACTTCTCTTTATTGATATATTTTGCTAGGTGAAAAAGTTCACAAGACCCTCTTCATATTTTATAATTTATACAAGTTGTCCTAGAACTTTTTGAACCAGATGACGTTCTCATTTTCATCATCTGTTAAATATAATTCTTTCTTAATTAGCTATTGTGTGTTCCAACCAACATCCCAATAGATTTTAAAAGAATTCTAATACAAGTTTGTACATATAATCATATTTGGGAGAAACAGTGATATAATGTCATTAGAAAACAGATTTATATATATATATATATTGATTGGCAGCCAGTAGCATTCTATCATTAATACTCCATAATTTTTTCGTTCTCCGCTTCTTTACCAACGAACTCTTCCTCTATAAAGATCGTTGAAAGCGCAAGTATTATATTTTTGAAAGAAAAATACAAAACAGAGACAGAAAACAATGATTTGGGGGAGAGTGACGCTTGCCTTCTATTGGAAGTGATAGATCATTATAATATAAAATGATAAATTTATTAAATGCTTAAATGGTTGCAAGAGGCCCACCTTTGTAGAAGTTGATGAGCTTGGACGATATAAGGTCTCTAATGAAGTGCCATCTTCAACTCTTTCTTCAACAATCTGCACACCATCAAAGTATTTAAACTAAGTTTAAGTCATCCACCATCATGCTAAACATCTTATATGAGAAAAAACAAATGTGTTACCTTTAAAGATTCATCTTGTTATAATTGATTCGTTGTTTTAATTTTCTCTATATTAGGATCATCTAGAATAATTGAATGCACTACTTGATCTTGAGTACCCTCAGAGGCAGAACTACGTTGTAGCTAAGGGGGGACCAACTTCCTTCCCAGTTCTATATAAATATTGTTCTTAGTTTTTTTTTTGGCTCAAACCAACATCCCAATAGATGTAAAAAAGAACTATGAAAAGATCAGATTGTCAAACAAATACAAGTTGTCACAATTTTTTTTTAGTTAGATGATACATTTGTCATTTTTTGAACCTTAGAAATAACATCCTCTTCAACGATTTTTTCTTTGTTGCTTCATTCTTTCCCTAATAATGTGTCATCTGTAGTTAATAAAAGTTAGTCGTGTGTGATTCATTAGTAAAAGAGAATGTGCCAAATATATGTAGTTATTATTGGTTTTTTTTTTCAAGTATCTTATCAAATTCATTATTTGGATGAAAATAAATGATGTCTTGGAATGTAAGTTTAAAACAAGGACAGAAGATAATTATGTACTGGAAAATGAAACGAGTGAGATGCGCTCTTGTGAATTTGATGAACTGTGAATTGATAAAAGAAAATGACTGTGTCTATTACAAGCTTGTATATGTAATCATACTCGGGAAATAGTAATAGAATGCCATTAGAAAACAGTGTTTTCTGCAAACTTTTCATTAAAATAAATCATCTCTTCACAAACTAACATTTAAAAAGAGAGTGCACATGCTCATGCTAACTGCAAGCAGCATTCTTTTACTAAAACTCTGCCACAAACATGATAGCTAATTATATTGTACCATGTAATATATACAAGAGAATATGATCGAATACCATGAAATATACCTTTGATAAGTTTTCTGTATTTGTGGGTTGTCGTAGATCTTCCATAAATTTTTCGTTCTGCACTTCTCTGCCACCCAACCCATCCTACGCAAAGATCAAAGCAATAGGCATAATTATTTATCCAAGTTGTCTTATGAATTTTGAATGAGATGATGAAGTTATCATTCTCAAATTCTCTTATGGTGTGTTTGAATTAATGAGAACTAGGATTTGAACTAAATCCCTCATTCGGATACACAAAAAATTATGAATTTAAATTTGGTTTAAATCCAAATTCATTTCAAATTATAATTCATTTTTAATTTTAAATTTCTTTTATACTCTAGTCATTTGAAATTCTAAGTACTTCAAATATATCTTGTTTTCTTTTCTTTGCGTTTTCACTATTAATACTTTTATGACTTTGGTATCTTTTTTTATCTCTTATCAATTAAAAAATAAAAATAAGCTTATCATTTTCAATTTTTCATTCTCGTTTCAAATATTAGTTCATCTCTCTTTTTCATTCAAAATTTTTTAAACTATACCCAAATAAAGGATTTTAAATACATGAATTTTAAATGTGAGATTTGAAATGTAAAATTTCAAATCTAAAATTCAAATTCAAATCCATCAATTCAAACACTGCCTAATTGATAACATGGTTTATTCATGTCAAATTCATTAATTTTGACTTGGAAGGGCTTTGATTGTTATAAAGTCACTACATTTCAACCTTTAAAAAGCAAATGTAAAAACAAATACACAGAAGACAACTATGTGCTAGAGAGTGACACAATTGCCTTTGTGTGTGTGTGCGTGTGTGTGTGTCTTGGGATGTGTTATATGAGCCACATATCTCTAAATCACTTGTGAATATTTTGTTTTTAATTATTTTACTTAAAAGGGAATGTACTTGCTTACATTTAAAGCTTTTTTCATATAGTTCTGTTTGAAGGAAATTTCTTAATTTTTTTGTGCTTCAGCCAACATCACAATGTGTAGAAGGAATTATAAAGAAATCAAATTAGCAAAAACATATATACTAGTTGATCAATGGCTTTGAATCAAATGATAAATTTGTCACTTTTGGCATCTCAGAAATAACATCCTCTTCAACAATTTCCTTTGTAATTTCCTTAGTACCCCAGTCGTAACAATACATGGTAAAAAGTTTAGTCAAGTGGCATAAATAAATAAAAGAAAAATGTTATATGTATAGTTTTGTTGGTTTATTTTATAAATATCTCATAAAATTCAATGTTTTGGCTGCCATTATTTGCATTAAAATAAATCATGTCTCATAATATAATTTTAACAGAGAAAGAAGATAATTGTGCTTGTGCACTTGAGAAAGAAGATAATAGTACAATAGAATATTATCAGAAACAATGTTTTCTACCAAATTTTAGATTCTAAAAAATAATATCTATTCACAAAATAACTTTAAAATATAAATAATATCTATTCACACGATTATAAACACAAGGCAGTGAAATAAGATATACCCCTATGAAGTTGGGTGAACCAATTCGGGATTGTTGAAAACTTGGCCTCCCTTTAGTATCTTCCATGTCTAACAGATTTGTGTTTAGATGTGAAGAAAGCTTCTCCTCTGTTTTGGCCTCGACATTCGAACGTAGCATATCCTCATGGCCATCATGATGAAGCTGACTAGAAGTCGTAGTTTCTGCAAAGTAGGATTTTGCAATGTTATTATGTTATGATGATCACAAAATAGTTTTCAATTTGAATGTATGAAAGCACACCGTGAAAAGAAAATTTGGGACAGCCAAGCACAATTGAATCATTTGCTAATATTTGAAAATCAATCCCATGGCAGATATTGATGATGCTTATATTTCTTCCTATTGTTACATATCTTAGCTTTGGAAGCAAATCTTTCACTGTCATTTCTTTCGACTCATTTGGTCTAATCAGCACATGCTCAAGGGCGGAGGCATCTATTACAAATAATCTCTCTAGTTGTGGAAGGACACCAGACACTGTGATAGAGAACAAATACTTCAACTTGTGACAGCTCTCGACACTTAGATATTTTAACACTGGGAAGCATGGTTGATGAGGCAAATGATCTCTAGCACTTTCCTCAATATCATCTTCAATGATCTCAACTAACTCTTCACATTCTGATATCTCTAGCCTCCTCAACTGTGGTAGGGTTCTCAATGTAGAGGCAGAGAAGACAACTTCAAGCTTTGTGCATCTTTTAATAACTAAGCTGGAGAGATTGTTGAGGCTCATAATATATTTTGGGCCCACACATATATTCCTCAACTCACTTAGATCTTCCAACAACAATAATTCTAAACTTGATGTTAATGGTTCAAGCTTTTTCTCATTTTTCTTTGCATCTAGATTTTTCAAGTTGAAAATCTCTTCTATTTTGGAATTTTTTAATGTAAGCTCTTCCAAAATATGCAAGCGCATCTCAGTTGCCTGTAAAATACAAAGAAACAATATCAATATCATTTTTCAATTTAACATCATAGAACATAGGGGAGGAAGAAAGAATCAAATTAAAGTAAATAAAATTGTTCTTAATCAATTGATAACTAATAAAAATTAGAGAAAAACAAAAGATGAGTTCAAGTCTACAACTTAATAAATTCTTGAATTGAAGCTTACTTAGATCTTTCAACTGCAATTCTTGTAAACTTGATATTAATGGTTCAAGTCTTTTTTTTCATTTTTCTTTTAATCCAAATTTTTCAAGTTGAAAATCTCCTATTTTAAAATTTTCTATTATAAGATTTTTTTTTTCAAAATTTACAAGCGCATCTCAATTTTCTGTAAAATACAAAGACACAACATTAATATCACATTCCAATTTAACATCATAGAATATAGGGGAGGAAGAAAGAATCAAATCAAATTAAAGTAAATAAATAATCAATTAATAAAAAATAAAAAATAGAGAAAAATGCATTTTTTAATTAATATATGGTGGTGCAGAAACTCGAAAGAACAAGTGATAATTAAATACTATCAAATAGGAAGAAATTACTCTATTATTGCTTGACCATCCTTGAAGAACTTTCAAAACCTATTTATACTGATTGTACATGGACATTTTCGTCTAAAATCTTAGACAAAGAATTTAACATAGGCTAAAGGAGTTACATATGTTACTAGCTATTAATCATGGTCATTAACGGGGAGTTGCAATGACTTGCTTATTAATGGATTAGTGACAGTAGGAGAACACTGATGTTCAGATCATGATTCCATTTCATATGGTAACAATTATTGAATTTGATCAACCTGTTAGCATGACAATATGCACCTTATCCTTAGCCAAATTTGGAAAAGCTAATTAATCAAACATTAAGATTGAAACACATAAAAGTGTTAAGCTAATGAGAATCTAACAAGACTCTATTTTGTGAAAAAATGGGGATTAGATAGGTAGGACTCATTGAATGGGAAAGAGGACTACATGTCATTCTCACCTTTCAACACTAATATGCTAATAAACTTGTGGGCAATTGTAATAAAACTTAACTTACCATTAATGTTGAAATATGTGAATGTGTGAAGTGATTAAAAATTCAACCACACTAAGCATTACTAAACATGTGAAACAAAGGCAATTGTCCTTCACCATTTTTTTCAATTCAATATTGATTAATGTAAATAAATATTATCCTTTTCAACTTTATTTGTAATGCATATATATATATATATACATATGAGAAATCATGACTGAAAAATTATCAAATAACATCTACTGGGATTGTTCAAAATAATTACTAATAAGACTGTGGGAGAAGTTAAAATAAAGTCGTACCTTTGTGGTTTTGGAGTCTCCTTGTGTTGCATGATCACAAACCATAAAATCATTAAAAGATCTGATGCTAAACATCGAAGAAATATCAATATCTAGTTTAATGAACTTCATAGATAACCCTTTCAAACAATAGTTTTCAGGACACAAGCTGACAAGTTTTGGCACATAATATATCCATAGTTCTTTTAAAGCAGGGAAATCAATGCAAGTTTTCATATTCTCATTCTGATGAGATAAATTGTAATCATGAGAGCTTCTTCCCAACACATATTCCAGCTCATGAGCACCGAAGATTGAAAGACATTCCAAATGCATGGGGGATCTGAAAGTAGATGCTGGAAATAGATATTCCATTGCATTACAAAATGAAATGTCTAGACGTTTCAACTTTGGAAAGATGGATTTGTGATTCATATGAGTTGTAGCACCTCCCTCATCTGCTACAATGTATTTTAGTTGATGACAGCCTTCAATTGTTAGTTCTTCCAAGGAAAGGATTGAGGCATCATGTAGGGCAAACAATGATATTAAGGTGGCACAATTCACAAGTTCCATCTTCTTGATGTTGATCAATGATTGCATTGTGAGGCCTTGAGTTGCTTGAAGATGAACTGTATCTATCGATAAATTTAGTCTCTACAAATACATGAATTATATGTATATCAATGCAAACAATCAATAAAATCTGCATATACAAATTAATTTAGAAAGAATATTAGTTTGGCTAAAGTATACATTTAGTCCTTTAACTTTATATAAGATTTTATTTTAATATCTTAATTTTATAATATATGTTTTTAGTCCTTTAACCCTAACACTATTAGTTTTATTACAAATAATTATAATTAAATTTTTAAATATTGAAAATATTTTCAATTGTTGACATACTAAGTTTAATTTTTATAAAATAACAATGATTAGCATTAAAACACAATCACTTGAAATTACCCGTGATAGAGTTAGATAATTGGAAAGACACTTTTTAAAATTAAAGAACCAAATTGAAACTTTATATAAAATTAAAAGACCAAAAGTACACTTTAGCCTATTAGTTTAAGGTCTAGCTTTTAAATTTATTTTATTTTATTTTAATTTTTGCAGAAATTCCATATTGTAATATCTCCTCAAATATATATGTATATATATATATATATATAATTTCTGCATTAATTTTTTTCCTATTCATCATGTCTATCAATGAGAAAGTAACAAGAAAAAATATGCGACGTTGGAAAAGAAAAGCAAATTAAGATAGGGAGAAAGTAGAAATATAACACACACACTCACTCATTTAGTATCCAATGTTGTAATTTTATATGTTAGTTTAAATAATTGATTGATAATGTTTCCTTTTTAAAAAAAAAAGTTTTAAGAACAAATTAAACTGTTCTTTTTTAAATTTCTATGTAGTATATATTTTATTGTATAACCAATGCCCAACATTTAATTGCAGATAAACAATTAATCTAAAATGATCTATAGAAATAGTGTATTCAAATATAAAATTATTCATAACCCAAATGCTTACCATTTTTGGGATGTGTTGAAAGGAAAGGAACTCTAAAACTGGCAGATCAAAGTGCATCTCATGATGTTGATTTTGATTGGATAAATGATCCTCATGTTGGCATTTTTCAATGGCATATTTTAGCTCAGAAGCACCCTTGATAGTTAAAGACTTGAGACTCTTAAGTTGCACAAATGATGAAGATGGAAATAAAAATTCCAACCCTTCACAATCCTCAATTTCTAGGTTCTTTAATGTTGGGAAAATGTAGGAGCAATTCCTGGAACCTTGAGCATTGTCTTCATCTTCTACAATGCACTTCAGTTGATGACAACTTTCGATTGTCAAATTTTCCAACAAAACTGTTGAGGCAGTTGGTAGAGTGAACAATGATATAAGCTTTGAACAATTTTGGAGCTTCATATGCTTGATATTTTTCAATGATTGAATCAGCGGGCTTTGGACTATTTGTAAGCTGGTGACTCTGTCTGTGGATGCAATTGTTTCCTGCTGTCAAATAAATTTAAACCAAACAATCAACAAAATTCATTTTCAACCTCAACTAGAGTATAGTAATTAGTTAGATTTGTGAAAAAGCCATCATTTTTGTCAAATTTTGATTTGTGCACCTTTTTTATGTCATATTAATATTCTTGTCATATTTTGTTATATACGATCTCACCAACTTAGTGTTTCACATCTAAAAAATTAAACAATATCTAAATAGAACAATAGTATTGCATGATATGAAAATTCTCTACTTCCTAGTAATTAAGATGAATAAAGCAAAATAAATGATAGTAAGTTAAAAGAGTTTTACCTTGGTGATTTTCCAATCCAAGAGTTCTTCACTTGTATGAAACTTCCACTCATTAAAAGATTCAATGCCACAATCGGCCAAAGAAATTGTTTGAAGAGATTGTGGCACCAGGACATCAAAATTCATGGCACAAATGCTTACCACATTTGGTACACCTTGAAAGCAAAGGCACTGCAAAGCAAGGAGATCAAGGTGCAGCTCATTTTGTTGATATTGATTGGCAAAAATATCCTTGTGTTGGTTTTTCCCTACAATATATGTTAGTTTAGGAGCATCTTTGATAGTCCAAGACCTTAACTTTTTAATTTCTAAAGATATTGTGGATGGAAATAAAAATTCTATGTCATCACACTCCCTGATTTCTAGCTTCTTCAAATTTGGGAAAATGGAGCTACAATTCTTTTGATCTTCATAATCATCTCCGTCACTTGTCACCAAGTGCTTCAATCCATCACATTTTCTGACTATCAATTCTTCCCACAATACAATTGATGCCATTGATAAAGTGAACAATGTTGATTTTGAATTTAAAGAGAAATATGCGAGTTCCATCTTCTTGACATGACCAACATGGAGTAACTGTGTTCTAATGGTAGTAGTAGTTTCCATCAATTTCTTTGATGCAAGTAATCCCTACAAACAGACATTGTAATTCAACAATTGAACCACTTAATTTAATTTTTTAAGCAATGCATGGATATATGAAATCTAGGAAATATCACTTCATCTAATTAGCATACATACATATATATATATATGTGCCAACTTTTTATTTGGTTATATATATTTGATTATACTCAATTGATTTTATAGTTCTTGACTCTTAAGACATGTGCGTGCACGTGCACACACACATATATTTATGTGTCACACCCCAATACTAAGGGTATGATCAATATAGAATATGAAGTGAATTCATATTCCACAAACCTTAATTAATTAGAAATTAAACTAAAATATTGATATATATAAGTTATATATAATAATAAAGTTCATAAATTTTTAAATGTTTTGTAAAAATTTTGATAAAGCCTCACATATAAACTGGACCTCTCAAAATTTCTACAACAACAACAAAACCTACCAACCAGGATAGCAAGGAGACTAGCTCCATTTTAACAATTTACATGATAATAAAATAAGGCTAGGATTTAATCATAGTGTACGTGGAGCACTAAGTTATGATTACAAAATATAATAAATAGTTTTACCAAAACAATAATTGCAATAGGCTTCCTCCTTTCCAAAAAAGCAAAAGGGCCCACAATGATCTGTTGGAGGCACAAGGTCAACTATAATAGTTGAGAAAAGAAATTAATTATGAGTAGCATTCCAATCACAATTATAATAAAGAAAATATGAAGAAAATAAATAATAAAGTTAACTCAAAATAACTTAATGAAATAATAAATCATATACTTAACTAAAAATAGATAATGATTTTTTTAATTCTCAATAATATAATTGTAAAATTAAACAATGCTAGTAGAATCATATAAATGTATTAATTTTTTTTACCGCTCATAAATATAAAAATTTTCAATAATAGTGTAGTTTAACAAAGTTCTTTTAGATAATTACAAGAGAAATGATAAATTTTAACTTAAATTTAGAAGGGGTTTATCAGAATAAAAAATAAATACGAGGGTAAATAATCAATCTATCATGGATACACAATTCACAAAGGTAAGTAATTAATCAAGTATGGCTAAAAGCCATGAAACAAGTGCAAGAATGAAGCCCAAAAATACAAATGTGAGTAGGATACTCATGAATAACCATTCCTCCATTTTACGTGCATTGACTATCGCACGAGGCTAGCACCTCCTTTAAGCACCCTGCTAGCTAGGTGTATTACGGTGTGCCAAGGGCTAATGGAATTGTCGTTAGCATCCAATATTCTAAATTCAATCATCCTTAATAAAATTAAGCATGTATGGAGCAAGAAAATAATTTCAAAAATTTTTCTTTCAAACACCATTCAACCATCATTTTCTATTATCCAAATTTATCCTTATTTCCTCCATACATGAATCATTGAATTAAAATATTTTATATCAACATAAAAAATTCAGTAATTAAACTATAAAAAATGTATATCATTTATCATATGTAACTTATCAACAATATAAATCATTAGTAAAATCAAGACATTTTCTTTAATAACATAATTATTGAAAAAAATAGGATTAGCAATGATATTTGCACAATTTATAAAAGAATAATAGTAAAATTTAAATAAAGAATTTTATAAACACTTTACTAAAAATGTATTCGGAGTGCTTTCCACTCACCTGATAGTTTTTCAAAATTCTAAAGCGTTCTTCTCTTAATCTTTTGCTTTAATTCTAATTGTGTTCTTAATTTCCTGATAAATATATCGTAATTCTAAAATAATTTATCAAGAACTTTTTCAATTACTTATTGGGCATTTGAATTCAATCTAAACAATATTAAAGATAATACTCTAACAATTTATGTTTCAAATACACTTGAGTTAGTTAAATCATTTGACAACTTTTAATTTATCATCATATTTCCTTATGACCTATACTCATTCATAAATTATAATAAACTATATCGATCATTCTTAAGCTTCCTCTAGATTAAAAAAAATGTGAAATGAGCATCTTATGTAATCCTTTCTCCCGCTTTAATATTTTAAAATTTTTAATTAATAACTTGAACTAAAATTATAGGGACTTCTCCAAGCTATAACATGGAAGCTTTAATAATCCATAAGTCACCAAATCCTTCTCTCACACATTTTTACAAACACCTTGAGAGAATATATTTATCATTGACAAATTTATGAGATATGCACCCATGCAATTCAACAGCTTTCAAATTGTTAATTCCACCCCAAAATTCAATTCAGCATCACAGCATGATAATATTCAGCACCAACAGACACATATAACTCAACTCTTGCTAGAATTGCATAACAGTAGCAACATGGAATAGGAACATCACTCATCAGTAAAGGAGGGAAAAGAAAGATACCGTGCTGCTATAGAGATCGAAAAGGAGAAGAAAAACAGCAACTTACATCAACGAAACGCAGTGACAACAACTATAAATCAAACGTGCTTAACATTGAAGAAGGAATGAAGAAGAGCTTCAAGTTTCCACATGCACGAGAAAGAAGAAGACCAAAATTCAGCCGGCAAACAAAATATTCGAGCTACCACAAACACACACACACACACACACATGGAACTTTCAGCAACTGAGGAGGAAGCAAAAGAAGGACCGAACATGCGTGCATACACTACCTTTGTAAGCCACGAACCAAAGTAGAACCGAGGAAGGAAGAAGACAAAAACTTTCAACCAGCAAACACACAAAACAGATTACCATACACACATAGACTTCCAACTGTTGAGGGGAAAGAAAAGAAGATCTGAACATAAACACATGGGCATAGCTTTTTCCACCACAGAACAACAAAGAAAAGAGTAGAGATTCAACTCAGCACAAGACAGAAAACAGAAAAATAGTAGAGATGAACCAGTAAAGCAAGAGGCATGCCGACGGTGAGGAGTAAGGGCTTGACAGTGACGAGAAAGGAAGTCTAAAGTCGGCGAAGAGAAGAGACAAGAATGCTCTGTTTTTCATTCATGAAAAATATAAAATCTGATCAAAAAACTATTCGGGAAAGTTACAAAAAAGATCATGAGAAAATCACAAGGAAAGACACAATAAAATTATAAAAAAGGAAACTAAATTTTTTTATAATTTTAAAACTGAACTTTTGCTCAAAAAAATTTAGACCTTGGATCCTTGAGAAAATTTCTAGCATAAATTCTTATAAACCACTACCTTCTACTTGCTCATAAAGCTTATTTAAATAAAATATCTATTAGGAGAAAATTTTGTTCAAATTAAAATTTAGGATCATTACAATATGCATGTGAGTGTTTTTATCCCTATCATTTTATTTTCAACAAAATGCACTTGCAAAATCTTATTACAAATTAACTCAGTCATGCATAAAAAAACTATTTCAAATTACCCTTAAATAATGATGATTCATATAATAGATATTTTCAACATTCAAACCTTATTTTGTTTTGTTGAGAACCTTTTTTCTTCTTGAAATAACTGACAAATTACATTTCTATTCGTTGAACAATATATATATATATATATATGAGACATTTGAACGAAAACATTAAGGCAAGTGTAGTATAGGTTTGTGTGATCAAGTGGCCTATGTTTGGAAACTGCAAGATTGGTCTCTTCACTATCGGGTCTCAATTTATTGAGAGGACAACATGCTTGAACCCAAGAGAGAGCATATGTGGCAAGACTTTGATGTATCTTGTTAGACTTATGTCTTGAAATTTGAGATGATGGCATTTGCGTTGATGAACTCTTAAGTTTCTCATATTCTCTATAAATTCCTCTCAATCTTGAAACTCCACAAAGTTCTAACTCTTGCAGTGAGGGAAGAATAGCATCATCCCCCTATTGGAGCATATCAAATATGTATTCCAGTTGATTACTCTCACTAACAAAAAATTGACTTTCAGTAGCAGCAACAAATGGCGCCGTTGAAAGTCAAAAAGTCATCGCAACAATAAAAAGTCATCACAATGTTGCCGCGAGAGCTTATGTCACTGATTCAATCTGCGGCGACAAAAAAGTCGTCGCTAAAAGTTGAGAATCAGTGGCGACAATTGTCGCCGCAGAAACCACGCATCAACAGCGACTATTTCTGTCACCGCTGAATGTTAAGTATCAGTGGCGACAATTGTTGCCACTTAAGCTACCAAAAAGTTATCGCTGAAAAGTAATGTTGGTTCACTTACACACATGACACCACGTCACCGTCCATGTGGTGCCCCAACTCACACCACGTGGTGCCATGTCACCCTCCATGTAAGGCCCCACCTCGCACCACATGTCGCCATGTCATCCTCCATGTGTCGCCCTCACCTCACGCCACGTGGCACCATGTCATTCTCTATGTGTCGCTCTCACCATACGCCACGTGGTGCCATGTCATCCTCCACATAGGGCCCCACCTTACACCACATGACGCCATGTCATCAATTTATATTTTCACTTTGAAAGTTGTTTCCTCCAAGGTTTGAACCCGTAACCTCCTCCTTTTGTGCCCAACCATTTTGCCACTGAGCTGAAATGAACCTGTAGTCTATTATTGCATAATTAAATATATATATATATATATATACACACACATATTATTAAACTATACAAACACACATATATATTAAATATTAAATATTATAAAATATCATTACTATCCTTAAATTCTTCAATTTAATTCTTTCAATTTATAAAATTATAAATTATATTATTTATTTCGTTTAAAGTAAATTATAAATATAATTGATACAATATAATTTATATTATTTATTTTAATTTTTTTACTTCTTGAGGTTGTTATATTATTTATTTTAATATTCATATTTATAATTATAATATAAAAAATATCTAAGAATAAATAGTAAAAATACTGATGATTATACATTAGTAAAAAAATTATAAAAATGAAGACAATCAGCGGTGACTTGTATGTCGCCGCTGAAACTTGCAATATAATTTTTTTAAAAGAAATTAAAAAATGCTGACAATCAACGGCAACACTAAAAAGTCACCACTGAAAGTGGACTTTCAGCGGCGACTTGCATGTTATAGCTAAAACTTGCAACATAATTTTTTAAAAGAAATAAAAAATGCTGACAATTAGCGATGACTTGTATGTCGCCGTTGAAACTTGCAACATAATTTTTTTAAAAGAAATTAAAAAATGCTAAAAATTAGCGGTGACTTTTTAGTGTCGCCACTCAAAGTGGACTTTCAGCGGCGACTTGCATGACGCCGCTGAAACTTGCAACATAATTTTTTTAAAAGAAATAAAAAATGCTGACAATCAGCGGTGACAGTAAAAAGTCACCGCTGAAAGTCAACTTTCAGCTGCGACTTATATGTCACTGCTAAAACTTGCAATATAATTTTTTTAAAAGAAATTAAAAAATGCTGACAATCAGTGGCGACACTAAAAAGTCACCACTAAAAGTGGACTTTCAACGACGACTTACATGTTACTGCTGAAACTGGCAACATAATTTTTTTAAAAGAAATAAAAAATGCTGATAATCAGCGGCGACACTAAAAAGTTGCCGCTAAAACTTGCAACATAATGTTTTTAAAAGAAATTAAAAAATGCAGACAATTAGCGGTGACACTAAAAAGTTACCGCTGAAAGTGGACTTTCAGCGATGATTTGCATATCGCCACTGAAACTTGTAACATAATTTTTTTAAAAAAATAAAAAATGCTAACAATCAGCAACAATAGTAAAAAGTCGCCGCTGAAACTTGCAACATAATTTTTTAAAATAAATAAAAAAATGCTAACAATCAGCAGCGACACTAAAAAGTCGCCGCTGATTCTCAACTTTCAGTGGCGATAGTAAAAAGTCACCGTTAAAAGTCGACGCCGAAAGTCATTTTTTTTGTAGTGTCTCACATATACTTATCTTTTCTAAACATGCTAGGGCTCCAGCAAGTAGGATTGGGAACAATGAGTACTCATAACCCTTTTGATTATTGTCGCCATCTTCACCTACTATGATGTGTTCCAGCTCATTGCAATTTCTAATATATAATTCTTTCAATTCCTTCAAACTTTGAGCAGCGGTCGACTGGAAAACTGATATCAACATTGGACAGTTTTCTAATTCTATGGACTTGAGATGGCCCAAGTTGAAGTTGCCTTTACAAAATATGCTCCTCAATCTTTGACACTCTTCAATATACTGGTTTAATAGTTTATTGGTTTAATCTAACAGAAGGAACTAATAATACAATTTGATTGTATTCTTACATTTAGAAGGAACTAATGAAGGGAAAACGAGTGGATGAAAAAAGCAGAGAGGTAGTATATTGAAAAATCTTTCCCCTCTTTGTTCCGTTCAACATATGTTGTGTTATTATATAATATTTATGATTTGATTGGAGAATTTGTTACTATAGATATAAGCAATAACCTAAAGTTTGTGTACCTATAGAAACAAGTCTCTTACTAGTTAATTTTTATTAGGAAGGTTGAATAAGATTTAATTAAGAATTTACAAAATTCGGTTATATATATTATATAGAATTCTTGCTTGAAATGTTAAACTATATATATATATAGGTAACATATAATTCAATCTTACAAGTCGCCCCTTGACTTAATTGACAGGCCTCGGGGGCTTTCTTTTTTAGAATCAAATCTAAGACATTATCATTAAAGGATATTGAATAATTTGTCAAAGAATATATCTTTAACACAAGTATGGAAAATTAAAAGTGCAGTGCAAACAAAATATTAAGAAGCGAACAAATAACGTAACTATAGCACTATATATAAATAAACATAATTAGAAGGCATATTCGGCATAAAAAAAACATAATTAAAATGTATTCTTACCCCTTTTTAAAAAAAAAATTTGGTTGAAAGATGCACGAAGCTATGAATGAAAACAGGAGTAGCAAACCGAAAACAATTCCTGCAAAAATAAAAAGATATATTCAGAGCTGAATTTGGTTATAAACTAAATTACAAGATTAGCATATATATATATATATATAATCTGTGTACTTGTACCATGAAGATCTTAAGCAACTTGAACGACGTTGTTTGCGAAGAGATAGAAATGAGAGGAAAAGATGAGAGAAAAGTGTGATAGGAGCGATTAATGGAAGAAGAAGATAAGAGCCATTCATTCAAAGTGCTTCAATTATGCGGGCTCCCTAGCTAAGGAAGGAATTTTGGGTTCTTCTCTATTTGATTCGATTCCCTTTTTCTTGAGGGACCCTTGTGTTTAAAGAATGAATCGGACTTCAGTCCCTTTGTACGGCTGATGTTTAATCTCATGTTATTTGGGCTTCACCCTCCTTTATACCCAAAAAAAAAAAAAAAAGTGCTCCAATTATGCGTTCCCGCGATCTCCCAATGGTCCCACTTTCTTTCTTTCTCAGTAATTCAAGTTCAAGCCACATTGTAGTCTTATCCCTTCTTTTTTACAAAAATAATAATAATAATAATAATAAATAATAATAATAATAATAATAAGGAAAATGACGATTTAAGACCCCCTAAACTCATTAATTTCAATTGAGATCATAAAATATTAAAATTTCATAAAGGACCTTGGTCCTTACTTGGAATAAAAAATATATGTAACTTTACAAAATTGCTCTCCACTAAACACTAAAAATTGGACCACTTGAAAAATAAAGTATCTTCACTACTGAAATCACTATCATGGTAAGGGAATATTATTAATGTCAATTGAGAAAATATGGAACCCTACTTGAAGATAGATTGTTTCCTACAATTTTCAAAACTCACTTTTAAAATATTTCAATTTCACTAATGAATATGCAACAGTGATTTGTGAATTTTCTAAGTTCACTCAATAATATCATCCCATTGTCTTGTCAAATTCTATGCTTGTTATAATTAGACTATTAGAAAAATAAAGTGTCTTCATTGCTAAAATCACTATCATAACAAGGGAATATTGTTAATTTTAGTTGGAAAAAGATGAAACCCCATTTGAAAATAAATTATTTCCCACAATTTCAAAGACTCACTTTTGAAACATTCCAATGTCACTTATGATTTATGAATGCACAAAAGTGACTAATAAATTTACTAACTTTACTTAAGAATATCAACCCATTGACTTGTCAAATTTTATGTTTGTGAATTTATAATTAGACGGCCTGAAAAATAAAGTGTCTTCACTATTGAAATCACTAGTGTCATGAGAATATTATTAATATCAATTTGAAAAACATGAAATCTTACTTGAGAATCTTTGCAGGTATTTTGATTTTTTTTGAGGGGTGACAATTTATATTTTTTAAAATTTTAAATAAGGACCACAATTTTTTATTAAAATTTAAATATTTTATAATTTTTAATTGAAATTAATAACCTTAAGAGATGTTTTATTACTATAGACTTCAGTACTTTTGTACTGCTGATGTTTAATCTCATGTAATTTGGGCTTCGACCTCGTTTATACAACCAAAAAAAGTGCTTCAATTATGCGTTCCGGCAATCTCCCAAAGGTCCCACTTTCTCTCTTTCTCAGTAATTCAAGTTCAAGCTACATCGTAGTCTTATCCCTTCTTTTTTACAATAATAATAATAATAATAATAATAATAATAATAATTAGTAAAATGATGATTAAGGAACCCTTAGAGTCATTAATTTGAATTGAGGATCATAAAATATTAAAATCCCATAAAGAACCTTGGTCCTTACTTGAAATAAAAAACATACATAACTTTACAAAATTATCTTCACTAAGCACTAAAAATTAGATTACTTGAAAAATAAAGTGTCTTCACTGTTGAAATTATTATCATGGTAAGGCAATATTGTTAATGTCAGTTGAAAAAATATGAAACCCTATTTAAAAATAAATTGTTTCATATCATTTCAGAAACTTACTTTTGAAATGTTTCAATATCACTAATGAATTTACAAAAGTGAATTGTAAATTTACTAACATCACTTAGTAATACCATCCCATTGCCTTGTCAAATTTCATGCTTGTTATAATTAGACCACTAGAAAAATAAAGTGTATTCATTGTTGAAATTACTATTATGGCAATGGAGTATTGTTAATGTCAGTTGAAAAAGGATGAAATCCCACTTGAAAATAAATTATTTTCCATAATTTCAGAAACTCACTTTTGAAACATTCCAAGATTACTTATCAAAATGCAAAAGTGACTATTAAATTTACCAACTTCTCTCAAAAATATTAACCCATTGACTTGTCAAATTTTATACTTGTAAATTTATAATTAGATTACTTGAAAAATAAAGTTTCTTTCACTACTAAAGTCATTATTGTGGTATGAAAATATTGTTAATGTTAGTTGGAAAAATATAGAATCTTACTTAAGAATTTGCGCACATATTTTGATTTTTTCTGAGGGGCATTTAAAATAATTTTTATTTTTTTAAATTTTATGTAAGAACCACAGTTTTTTTATTAGGATTTTAACATTTTATAGTTCTTAATTAAAATTAATAACTATCCTTAATTGTCATTTTTTTTAAAATTAACTC